TGGTGAGACATGCAGTCAGACCATGTAAGTGAATGGCAGAGTGATAATAGATGACAAGGAAAAGGCAGAGGTGCTCAATTCCTACTTCACCTCAATCTTCTCCCACAAGAAAATCTACAACCAAGAGGAAGTACAAGATGAAAGTGAGAAATGGCAGCCCAAGATTGACAGACAAATGGTCAAGGAATACCTAGATGGAATAAACACAGTCAAATCTCCAGGGCCCAATGAACTCCATCCCAGAGTCATAAAAGAGCTCATGGAGGAACTCTCAGAACCACTATTATCTTTGATAAATCTTGGAAAACAGGACAATTGCCAGAGAAGGGCTAACATTGTCCCTATCTTCAAAAAGATGACCCTGGGACCTACAGACCAGTTAGCCTGACATCAATCCCTGGAAAAAATCTGGAGAAAATTATTAACAAATCACTCTGCAAGCATCTTGAAGAAAATGCAGTGATTAATAAAAACCAGCACAAATTTATCAAAATAAATCCTGTCAGACTAATTTAATCTCATTTTTGAACTGAGTAACCTCCCAAACAGACAAGGGGAACACTGTGGACATAATCTACCTAGACATTAGCAAAGCTTTCGGCATAGTATCCCATGACATTCTGATAAGTGAATTAGCAAAAACTGGACTAGACAGAAAAACTATTAGATGGATTCAAAATTGTCTGCTAAATGAGACACAAAGAGTGCTCATCAACAGCACCTTCTCAAACTGGAGAGAGGTAACTAGTGGGGTGCTGCAGGGTTCAGTCCTGGGACCAGTGCTCTTCAACATCTTTATTAATGATTTAGATGAGAAAGTGCAAGGAAAGATAATCAGATCCGCAGACAGTACAAAACTGGGTGGAATAGCAAACACTGTAGAAGACAGAAGGAAGATCCAGGACAATTGGATAAACTTTAAATGCTGAGCTGAAAGCTAGAGAATGAGATTCAACAGGGACAAGTGCCAAGTCCGCCACCTAGGAGAAAGAAACCAAATGCGTCATTACAAGATGGGGAATATGTGGCTTAACAAAACTGCAAAAGAAAAAGACCCTGGAATTATTGTGGACAACAGGCTAAATATGAGCAAACAATGCAATGCAGCTGCAAAAAGAGCAAATGCTATTTTGGGATGCATTAATAGAAGTATTACTTGCAAATCATGAGAAGTAGTAATTCCCCTATACTCTTCATGAGTCAGACACCATCTGGAATACTGCGTCCACTTCTGGGCACCGTGATTTAAGAAAGATGCAGAAAAATTAGAAAGGGTCCAGAGGAGGGCAACAAAAATGATCCAGGATTTGGAAACACTTCCCTGTGAGGAGAGACCAAGAGAACTGGACATGTTCTACCTTGAGAAGAGAAGACTGAGTGGGGACATGATATTCCTCTGTAAGTACTCGAAGGTTGTCACAAAGAGGAAGGTCAAGTTTTCTTCTTGCTGATACCAGCGTGTAGAACACAGAATAAACAAGTCAAGCTGCAACAACCCAGATTCAGGCTAGATATCAGGAAAAACTTCCTCACCGCCAGAGCTAGAGAGGTGGTGGGCTCTTCCACACTAGAGACATTCAGAAAGAAACTGGACAGCCATCTGAGTGGGATGGTGTAACTTGGCGTCCTGCAACAGCAGCAAGGTGGACCTGATGGCCTTCTTGGCCCCCTTCTACCCTACTGTTCTCTGATTCTTTGAGGTGGCATTTTTGTCAGCCCTGCATCTTCGAGGCAGGGAAAGCTGCCTTGTTGGATTTCTAGCAAGTACACCACAGTTAGAAGCACAAGAAGCCCTTTCAGAAGAAAAGGATGACAAACTTAATCTCACCCAGTGCAACATATATGATTTGACTATGTCTGAGCAGTGAACCCTTTGTCCAGAGTGATATTTATCAGTGCCAATAGCGGCTTCGCTTGCTCCTAGAGCAAACAGCAGCAAAAGGGTGATGCAGGTGCTGTGTGGTCCCCACATGCACACACACAAGCACACTCTGCATGTAATGCAGCTTATCATCAATCTTTAGGCTCCCTTCATTTAAGCAACATGCAGCACGATCCTATATAGCATTACTCAGAAGTGCCCTCTGTTCACTTCCATGGGACAAATTCTCAGATCAGTTTTTACGGAACCTAATATCTTAATTTCTACAGGAGGTAGACAAAAAGTGACACCATTTGTTTGTTCCATCTGTTGATACTTGTACAGCATATGACACACAAGCGTGAAAGTGTAGCATTTATGAAGAGAGTGTGTGTAAGTCACCTGCATATTTACTTGAAAGGTGGACAGAGACCAGCGATAGTTTCTAAAAGGATCAGAAGCACCTTTGACATTCTAGCCGCCAGCCGTTCATTTATCACCAACCTGCTGCTGCAAAGTCAGGCCGGCCTCCTGACAGATGGTGCAGTCCCTGTGCTTTGTGAAATGTAGCACTCTCCGTGGTCCAGAGTTCAAATTTTAAAAGTTTCTCTTGTTTCATCATGTTATATTTGTAATTCTAATTCGTGCAGATTGTCCAAAGACTTTGGTTATTGGGCAGCATAAGAATGTAATGAATAATTACAACAATAGTCCTAGCGTAAGGATTCCTTCCGCCATGTATGTTGTAGTGAATAAAATAATATTGTGAATATTTGTGAGCCTTTCATTGACATCACTGTGTTATAAAAGGAAAAGAAGGAACTGTGGTTCTGTGGCTGGCAGCTACTAAAATCTGCTCCTGACAATGTGGCATTTTGGCATAGAACTAGTGACAGACGCCCTTACCCCAGGTGAATTTGTGATTTCTTCAGATAAATAACAAACACACCTGCGATTCTGAAAATGCCTTCTTAGGCTTTCTTTTTCTGCACAGCTCAACATTTCTGCCCATCCTAAACACATTCCAACCAACAAAATTGTGCAAGGACACCTGGGTTTCCTAACCCTACCCCTACCCTGGTGCATACCCCTAACCCTAATATAGGCAAAAATTCTATTGAAAATAATGCGATTTTGAAAAACCCTTCCTTGGGTACCTTTTCTGCACAGTTCAATATTTCTGCCCATCCTAAACACATTCCAACCAACAAAATTGTGCTGGGACACCGGGGTTTCCTAACCCAAACCCTACCCTAGTGCACACTTTTAACCCTAATATAGGTCAAAAGTTCAATTGAAAATAATGTGATTTTTAAAATCACATGTGTATGCGCTGAAAAGGTTTCTGCCTAAAGCAAGCTCTAAATGGGCTTTTGCACATGTGCAATCGTGTATCCGAGGAAATGTACAGTGGAAATGTGATGTCATCACCATGTCACATGCCCCTTCCTGATGAATTATTTTTATGTGGCCTCCCATAGAAACACTGCTGCCTCCCACCAACAGCATGTTTACTTAGAAATCAAAATAAAGTACTGTATGAACAATAATTTAATAAGAGAATGGTGTACCATTGCAGTTTACAGGAGCAAGAAAATGGTTGATCCAACTAACTCAGTACATGTGTGGAAATAGCATTGTCTAGAAGCTCATGGTCAATTCTGAAATTGATAGTAAATGTGTACAGTGCTGGCCCAGGTTTGTTGAAACAGTAAGCATTACAAAGAGGCAGAGTTTGACCAAAAAGCTATCACGGTATTCAGCAGCATCACTACAAAGTCATTAAATGGAAGTGTGACACTCCTTACAAAAGCAGGGACACTGAGGTAGAGCACAAATGAAAGGGCTGATGGGCCATAGGTTAGAGTGTCCTGAGTTGTAGTCTGTGTTGCTACACAGCTGCACAAGGAACAGGCCACTTGGGGAATAACAGCCTGGGCACAAAATGTAGTTTCCCAGGAAGACTTGACTGCTGTGCTTAAAATGACGCAAGTTCCTCCTCTTTTTCACAACTTGCATTTGCGTGGGGAGATGCCTTGCGAATGCCAGAGGCATGACTCAATAAGCTCCCCTATTTAGGGGGTGGGGGTTCCTAAGTGGCCACAGCTATCATGCCCTTCAGTTATGACGTGCAGCACAGTAAAGTATGCCAAAAGGACAAAAATATGCATGGTTGCATCTTCAGTAAATTCACAGGATGCTGCTCTTGGTGCAGAACTTCGGTTGCCATGGCATAACATTTTGGGTTGTTCTCCATTGTACTGTTTACCTTTTTGTGAGCCCCAGTAGCTACTATTTTAGAAGGGCTGTGCATGCAGAACTCCATCACAACTGAGCAAAGTTAGAGGTATATTAAGTTCTGCCTGGCAAACACTTATTTCATTCCAGGACAAATGACCCAACATCCCACCAGATTTCTGTGTAAAATCCCAAGGCTGACCACTGGGACCAGCTTGGAACACGAAGCTACAACCTCCCTGCTGTGTGTGTTTGTAGAGGTGGCAAATCAGCTGACAGACTGTGTTTCTTGCATTTGAACCACCCTTGCCCGTCACCTGTACATACCGTTAATTTCGTAAAACAATGACAGTCTGCTTAAAGTTAGTCTTGATTAAGGTCAGAGTCCTAGGTACACATACTGATAGTAAGCCAATTGAAAACAGTAGGAGTTACTTCCATGGAAACATGCCTAGGCCTGAGTGAGTCCTCCCCCACTGAAGGAAATAGGGACACGAGGCACAGCTAACTGGTTTCAGTGGGATAGTCACCGTAGGTAGTAGACTGCAGGCATAATTTTATAGAAGTGGTTCTGAAAGGGTTTGTTTTGTTTTTTTGCCATAGATGCTTCAGAGATTGCAATGGGACTACATGGAGAACTCCATTCGGCTTTAATTTGGTGAATGGGATGTGGGGATGAGCACCGCCCTCAGTATTCCTGGGTGGGGATGTGCATCACCCACCCACATCAACAGACAGGTCCAGCCAGTGGATAATCACATGTATGTTTGCACGCAACATGGACTGCATGCATGGAAGTCTAATTGGGCATGCAGATCTCCCTTGCTGGATCAGGCTGAGAAGCATCAAGGAGGAAGTTCTTCCAGATACAAGAGAAATGAACCAGAAAAAAGGTCTCTACGATAATGTTTATTAAATAGTACTTTTAAAAGGCTTTTATACAAATCATAGAAACACAGTTTGAGTTTGTTTTTTCTTTAAACACTGAAGAATCACAGTAAAAGCTTTAAAGTCCGCATGTTCTGGCTCAGCCAGTATATGGTCAAACTACCTAGAGCTGGTAAAATGTGAGAAATTTTGTTTCCTGCATACACTTTTCCCCACCAATGGATTCTTTTTACACCCCCGTGCTTCCTTGTTGATACCTCCCTACAAAACCAAGGAGAGCTACACTGTGGCTCTCCTGTCGGCCATGGCTAAGATGACCCCAAGGCTGTGGGGGCGACGTGTACTTCAACAAAGGCATTGGTGACACTGGGCTGGACCTTCCCCACTCATTTCCAAAAGGGGAATCTGCCAAAGAACATGGATCATCCAAGTAACATACATTTGCAGATGAAGATGCATTGATATGAATATACTCACCTATAAATTTTTTTCCTCGCCCTGTTTAAAAATACAATCAAACACAGTTTTCTGCATTAGAACAGTAAAGCACCCAGCAGAGAGGTAAGTGAGGTATCAGCTACGCAGCATTGTGGCCTGGGTCCACTCACTGAGCACACACAGCCAAGCCCTGTGCCTGCAGCGTGGATGCAACAGCACGCGACCGTTTGAGAGGGAGCTGCTTTCGCTGCATGCAGCTCGCACTAGGCTCCCTCCGAATTCACGCCAAGGACACTGCCATCCTCCGGCCTCCGATTCAAGGTACAAGTAGTCCCACATCACCACTCACATAGATAACACATACAGAGAACTCACAAGCACGCGCAAACACATATGCATTGGAATATATGTATACACGAACTCTCACTCTCTGTATGTCTACTATAGACAGCAATACTACCTTTGAATATATCTATTACTCCTGTCAGGTGTCCTTTACAGATGCAACCTGTCTGCCTTCATCCTTCACACAAATATAAGAGAAATAAAGTTGGGACACAATTCAGCCAGAGGCAAGCACATGCTTAGCCCTCCCATTGAAATCAATGGGGCTTAAAAGTGGTTAACTTTGGCTGAGCCATGGCCATTTCTTCTAATGACAGTAGCAGCAATTTTGCCTGCAAAATGACCCTGTAAATGTGATGATTACTCTCTGTGTTTCCTTAAGATTAGGAAAATAGAAGTGTGTTTGTATGTGGCATATGAAGATAGATGCATTAACTCTCTATCTATAAAAAGGGACACTTTTTTGGTGCTGTTTCTAGGGTGCTGAAAATTAGGGCTGTTTTTAAGGCAGCACTTTTCACATATTCTACCATCAGGAAATCTTTTCAGCATCAGCCCTGCTGAGGAATCCCCTGAGCATCTGCCTTGTTAACTTCTGCATGGGATTCTGGGACCTGTACGCATGCATATACTCAGTTCACACATGCCACTGGCTTGCGGGCCAGTTGTCCTGTGTGAACTGAGTCTGCACTAGTCTAGTACTAGCCCAAGACTCCCCAAGTTGTTCTGCTTTTTTACGGTCAAAGTTGTTTTTCAGGGATGTATACTATTATTCATGCGCTCATTGGGGAATGCATGAAAAGCTTTGGCCAGGATTCCCCAGCACACAATGAAAATTAAAGGGCTTAAACAAGCTGAATGCTGTCCTGGTTTGTGTCCTCAGCACATTACTGGAAATTAGCGTTTTGTTCATGCGCTTGCATACATAGTGGGGAGCATCACACATGCCAAAAGCTGTGGACATTCAGTGTGGCAAGCATGCACGCAAAGCGACGCGGAGGACCGTTCCACACAGTACATGGCAGCAGACCCTGTTTACCACTCAGTAGACAGGCTGTAGCAGCAATCCTTCACTCCCTTGCTTGTGTGCGTGTATGACACACGCGTTTGCAAAGGCAATACTTATTACATTCACAAGTTACCTTTCAAAAGCGCACGCCGAAAAAGTGTAACATGTGAAGCAGCCCTCAGCACTCACTGGACTACTGGATAGGTGCCTAGGAAAGAGCATATCAACAGCTGTGCCCGCATAACATCAAGCTAGCGTCTCAGCAATATTATGGTAGCGTAAATGTTTAGAACTTGGCTGCCAGGCATCACTCCTCAAACTACCACCAATTTTGAAATTCTGTTGAAGACCCCATCTAGAGGTCTCTCCTGCACTTCAGTCACTTTATTGTCTCCTAAGAATGTTGCTTGAAGATTGCTGCCAAGAGCTGAAACAAAAGGCATCAGAAATTGAAACTTGGCATTTGTAAACTTTTCTTTTACTGGTCTGCAACACACCTCAAGCATGGCACAGCAGTACTCGTAACAGCATTAGAAATATATCTGACCACTTGAAAGGACAAAACTCTACTCAGTAGAGATCCAATAATGATGATGAAGAAGAAAGACGACGACGACGATGATGATGAAAAGAAGAACAGGAAAGGGTGCATGTCTCACTTGTCTTTTGATAAGTCACACATCTCTAAGTAAAGGGAAAATATTTTTCTAAGGCACTTGATTAAAAAAACTACACACGCACACACACCAGACCCTTCAAAAATGAAAATAGTTTCGTGAATCACAAAGAAGCAAGTTATATCATTCTGAAGGGATAAGAAAGTGGCCACAAATTAGTACAGACCTTTTACTCAACATCCACACTAGAGTATCAGCTTAGGCTGGATACCCTGCAATGTGGCCTTAACCCAAAGGATTGCAATGGTCAGGTTCCACCCAAGGCCTAAATCTGCAAAGAGCTACTGCCTCTGCCAGAGGCACAAGGATCCTGTCCTTCATGTCAGTGCATCTGTTCAATGGGCTGCTCATACTGTAAGTCTTTGCAGAACTAAGACCTTAGCACTAGCTGTGAAAATAAAATTACACATCGGAGGATGGAGGTATCATTACCACTCTGCAGTGGGCCAGATAACTATTCTTTCACCACCCCGTTGGCTCTATTTCTTTCCCATCAGAGTGGCCACACATTAACCAAAAAAAAAATTATATATATATATATATATATATATAGCAGCCTGTCTTCCTCCTGAAGTATATAAAAAGCCATCTCCTGAGTTCTTGGGCACCTTATAATTGTGTCTTTTGTTTGTTGCAATTTTCTTATAATAAAAGAACAAGAATTCTTTTTAAGGGGCATAAAAAAGTAAAAGAAAGAGCCCTTGTGGTGAAGGCCTCTGCTGTTTCAATCCAAGATTTGGATTTAAGAAATGGCTCTTATTCACAACTCACTTAAGGCTCTTCAGCTTTTCTTGAGGAGGTGCTGCTTCTGACTTTCACACCTCAGGCTGCCTTTCTCTTTTGCTTGGTAATCTGGAAAGAAACCACTGCTGCTCCCATTGACCTGCAACCCTAATTCCCACCCTGACCCCGGCCCTCCCTGATCAAAAAGAGGTAAAGGCAACAACATGCTTTCATTTTGGGTCCTAGAAGCTGCAGCTCCCTCAGCTTGGATTCCCTACAGGACAGAGCAATTGATTAAAATCAAGCAGTATATCTGAATGATGATAGCTGGACTGGGCTTGTGTGTGTGACTCTGTGTAATTTCTAAGGATAGGATGGCTACCAAAATGGAGGTGCAACGAGGGTGGGGGAAGAGAAACTCTCAAAGGTTCTCAGGATTTGCATCAGGAAGTGGCAAATAATTACCAACTTTTTGCTCTTCCCTTCCTAAATGCAATCCAGACATTTTGACTCTTGCAGATGGGGTTCTCTCACCCAAGACATAAAAAGGACAATGTAGCAGCTCCTCTAAATGCTCCCAACCCAATTTGTAGGATGAAACAATTAGCCACTGTTTTTGCAGCTCTTGTTCAAAGTTTGTCTGCCATCATCATCATCTTCTTCTTTTTTAAAATACCAGGGCTGTCCACAACCCCTCCCCACTTCAGTATTCCAGCCCTGGCCTGTGTAAGATTATGGCATTCCATTCCCATAGAAAAAGTAATCTTCACCAGCCACTCTTGCTGGAATGAAATGTCAAATGCGATTCTGGTGCAATCAGTCATGCCTCGGAGCAACACTTTTGGTGGTTCATTTTGACCTTGTGCTTGATGCCGTCATAAAGCTCAAAGTTGTAATTCTCCAGAGTGGTAGAGCTCCGGGAGGACAGGCCGGTGTAGGAGCAGGTGCAATACAGCAGCAAGCCCGCGCAAATTGCCCCAAGGAGTACACCAAGAGAGCTCATGGCTATGATGGTGACCAGAATGGGGTCCAGAGTGTACAGCCAGTTCTTCTCCTTATCCACCTTTGGGGTTATTGGAGAGTTGGTTGCAAAGACCGTGTTGTTCTTCTCTGCTTGGCTTAAGTAGTCTGAAATAGAATGGAGGCCGTCAATTAGAAAAGGAGCCATTTCCCACTTCTCAAGAGTTAAATTGCTCGTGTGCAAGGTAATCCTTTTGTGGTGACCTTGGGGCAGTGCTGGGCTTACTGGGAGGTGCTGCTGGTGTGAACGGTGGTAAGCATAATAACTACTCCAGTCTCTGCTAACTGGAGTGTACAGCTGATTTTCTTAAAATCATGGATATTTTGCTTTTCCTTCCAAAGGAGATCAGAGCAGTACTTAAAAAGGGAAGTTATATAAGAGACAATATGAAGCAATAAAATCCAGAGCAGCCAACATATCCAGGAGACTTAAAAACCTGACTAAAATGGAAAGTTTTAACTGCCTTCCAAAATGAAGGATCCAGGCAGATTTGCTCTACACCTGACTGGAGATACAGCTGATACAAATGCTTCTCTCAGAGGCTGCATTGAGGGCATACAGCCACACTTTCCCATGGTGCTCCTGGGGGACCTTCTCATGTATGAACCTGCCCTTATTTTGTCAGCAATAATCTTTAATGTGTAATGCACGAAGTCAACCATTAAGTGTGTGTATGTGGGGTGGGGAAGGGGGTTGGCTTAGCACTTCTGATCTGCAAAAGGCATTTGCCCCAACATGGCCCTCAAAGCTAAAATTGTCAACTCTTCTTTCTGGGAGGGTTCCTGTGCTTTTAACATCTGCAGGAGAAGCAGGAATTCAGCATGTGATACATTTCCCAGCATTCAGATAACGTGATGAAAAAAGTTTCACCAATTGCTAAATTTCTGCTTGCCACACAGCCTAGAAAGTTTGCCAGAAAAAAAGCTGGCAACTTTCCCAGTTATTCCAGAGTTATTCCAATTAGATGGAGCAGGGCCTGGGGCTGAAAGGAAGAGACTTGCCCGAGTCTAAACCATTAGTCTGTGGCAGAGATTAAGACTTCAGATTTCCTGCCTTTTCACCTGTACCTGGACCATCCTGCTTTACAGTCAACTGTGACATCATCACATCTATTCATGTCTACTTGTGGAATTTGCTTACGAAGGGCACCAGTTCAGCTGAACAACAATGCCTTGGATCTTAATGGCTGCCATTGCACTGGACAATCCACTGGTGTATTATCTTCCCACAAATGACATGCATTGGTAGTGCCCTCCCTTCCAACTTGTCTTTGGTACAGATGCAGTAGACCCGCATGGGCAGTGCAGTTCACTGATCAAAAACCACACTAAGTGATTTTGGAAGGTGTGCTTTATCTTAAAAAGCACTTGGAAATGCATACTCTAAGATAAATATATTGCAAGTGTGTATATTCTAAGAAAATGCATGCAACATATTTAAATGTTATTTTTAATATTATCCAGGTCAATGCAGAGATGGAATAGAACAGTCATACCAATAAATATCTGGAAAACTGGACATGCATCAGAAGTGGACTAATCCACCCATCCCTAGTCAGACCACTGCCAGTTTCCGTTTTAGACCTGCACAGACTGGAGGTGAGAAGTGAGGGGAAGTTCCACCCATCACCACAACCAGGAGCCCTGTGTGGGCAGCCTTCTAGGCAGCTACCAGGTGCCTATTCCTGCTTCAGAAGGGCTGCTCTCCTCTGCTCTGCAGGTATGCTTGGAATACACCCACCGTTTTACAAGTGGTGCTAACTGCTCTGAGGACTCTAGCAAAACAGGGCAACGTGAACCTGCTCAATCAATGATGGGCATGTGACCTGCACCTTGGGCCTTGACAAACTCAGGCATCTGACTATGTCCAGTAATGGAAGGCAGTGAACTACTTGAAGAAAGCAACAAAAAAGACCAAATGTTCTCAGACTTGAAACAGACCTGAATCCTGTTTGAGTTTTTTCACTTAAATCTATAGTCCAATCATCTTTGCTGTGACCTCCAAAGATCCATTAGCTCACTCTCATCCAGTCATCCTAGCAGTGGCTTCTGGACTGAAATGGCTGCATTAAATGTCAGACTAGCACATTCCATGTATGGAAGGACATGGAAAGCAGCATTCTGGGCCAGACCAAAGCCCCCCTCGTCACACAGTGTTCTGTTCACATAGTGAAGAACCAGATGCCTGCAGAATTCACACAAGCACAGCACAAGTGTACTGCTGTATTCCCTAGCACTGCTTCACAGAGCATATTGAGTAGCCCTGCCTAAAATCTTGTTTTAAAAGGAAGCCAGTTTTGCCAGCTGTCAAATATCTGTGCTGCCATGACGCTATCAAATTTCTATGCTTCCACCAATGGGGTAGCTTGCCTTTTCCACTTTTTCAAACACTTAGAGTCTCAGAAAATATAGAACAGTGCACTTTTATTGAAAAAGTAACCTCAAAAACTATTTTGTGAGCAGAGATCACTTCTGCTCTTGCTGTTCCTTGACAGTGCACTTTTTGACAGCAGTTAAGAGAGTAGAACATTAAAAATGCATCTCTTTTCAGGCTCTCTTGAGTCAATGTCTGTGGTCGGTGCTTGCTGTACACCAACGGCAAGCATCACCCAGGACATTGCCCAGGTAAGGCTTCCCATTTCAGACCCTTGCAGGTATCCTCCTCCACACTTATACAAATCGGACTAAAGCAACTAAAAAAAAAAAAAATCTAAACGACTTTGCATATTTTTTTCCACTTCCACTTAAAATTGGTGGCAAGCTACTGACAGCCACTCCAATGTGCCACTTGGGCACTTAGGAGGGCTTATCACTGGCTGTTAGTCTCAAGATTGCAAAAAGTGATCTCGGGGGAAAAGAGAGGGAGGCTGTAGACAGCAAAAACAGGTTTGTAATCACAATGGAGAGATGAAATGAGGCTGCTTTAGCCACCAAATCTCCCTGGGCCAGAGGACTGGGGCCAGTGGAGAAGGAGTAGAGGAACAGCCTACATTAATCCTGACTGCCTGTCAGGCACACCATGAGCTTTTCTTTGAACAATCAACCCACCAATGCAGGGTGAGTTAACATGATGTGTGAACCTGCCCTATGAGAAGCCAACAAGCAGATCCTGTGGGCAACAGCCCTCTCCCACTGTTGTTCCCCAGTGAGTGAGATTTAAAAGCATGTTGCTTCTGATGCCAAAGATAGCATATAGCTATTGTGACTAATAGTCATTAATGGTAATGTGGCTAAGTTATATTGTATCTTTGAGAAAAGTGCATAAACTGGAACTGATATAAGAGCATTGAAGAATCCGCCATGGATTAGTTCCAGATTTGGTTATGCTTTGCATATAGCACTTGGATTCGTCATCAGTGGGACTTAATCCCATGGGACAATCAATCACAGTGAATGAGACTTAAGTCAGCCATGATGAACTCAAAGCCCATTAGTTCCAATGGGTCTACTCTCATTATGACAACAGCAAAACTTAATGCATTGTCTCTATAAAGTGTTTGGTACATGACTCGTATCTCATACTCACCATCTTCAGTGTCTCCTCCAAAGTCTTCCTCGTGAATTGAAACATCATCCTCTAATGCTGGGAAATCCACTGGAATGACAAATATTTTTTGCTGCTGTAAAATTCCACTTTGCAAACCAGCAATAACTGACATTTTTCATGAGAGACATAAACTTGAGGAAGAAAACTTTGCAACACTGTTCATGCCCAGGGTAAGCTTCCACGAATATTCCTGAACACAAAGAAGAAGCCACATGCATCATAGTAACTCTTTTTTCATTTCTAGTGAACAACCAGCTTTTAGGGAAAGTGAGAATTGGATCATTTTGATTGCCACTGCAACACTGTCGGTAGCATTTAATAATGGCTATAATTCATTAGTACCATGATCACAGGTATTATTTTTGAAACTTTCCACAGTGCCCATCATTAGTCACCATTAACATGAGGTCTATTTAGCGCACTCTGCATGTCATTGTCTAGCATGCATCTGAGCAGGTGAAAAGACCAAATGACCCTCTTTCAACCGGGTCCCAATGAATTCAAGGTGATTCATGGAAGCAGTGCATCATCATTACCTATGTATTAATGTAAAAGCTAGTATGACGTAGAAATTCCACAAATGGGTATCCATATTCAGGTAGTCATGCAAATAATTTCTATGATCCAAGACCTTTCTTTGGGGAAGATCTTTCTTTTGGTTCTTTGAAATGAACTGAAAAAGTAGTCCAAAGAAAACTGCGAACTGTTCTAATGTTCCATCATGACATGTATTTCAGTGATCATATGCATCTCCTTCAGAAGTTGCTTTGGAAAGGCAGCTGGTACATTTAAAAAAGCAAACAACAAATAAATGCACACTTATATTGAACAAATAGTTTTAGCTTAATTTCAGGTTGGCTTTTTTTTTTTTTTAGTGCTACAGAATTTCATGTGGTCGGCATTTAGCGCTCCACTCTACCATCTGCACAAAGCCCCACGTTCAATGGTAGCAGAAGCTCTGTTCAGACATGCATGTACAACATGTCTACACTCAATAACTGATGGCTGGCAGCTGAATGCCAGATGAGAGGAGCTGATATGGCAGTTTTGTGACATGACAGAATGACCCAAAGAAGGCCAGGTCTGAGCCCCAAGTTTTAATCAGGAAAAAGAGGTATGTTGGTGAGAGAGGGGACTAAATCCTCCTGGACCCCCTCATCCTGTACCTGCTCCTTTCCTTTCTGCAGTCCCTCTTGCCTGAAGAAGAAAAGCTTCCAGAAAGAGAAGGGGCCTGCATTTCTTGCCAGATATCCTTTCTACAGTTATAAAGAGATTCCCCCTCTTTGTACAGAATGGTATGCCTCCTTTTCAAGCACACAGGACTGAAAGCCAGAGTAGTGAAGTGGTTTGGGTGCTGAACAGGGCCAAAGAGATCCAGGTTCAAGTCTCAACTCAGCCATGAAGCCCACTGAGTGGGCCAGTCACAGCCTCAGAGCCTAGCCTACCTCACAGGGTTGTTGTGAAGATAAAATGGAGATGAGGATAACCATGTATGCTTTCTTAAGTTACTTGCAAGAGGAATAAAAATAGGATATAAATCAAGTACAGTGGTACCTTGGTTCACAATCCATTCCACAATTCTGGTCATGAGCCAAGTCAAATTTCCCCATAAGGTTCAGTGTAAATAAGGTTAATCTGTTCTTCACCATAACTTTATGTTATGCATAAAGGACGGCATATAAAAGTTTTAAATAAATAAAAAAATTAAACCATAAAAATACAGTATGAGCCACGTCCCTGGGCTGCGGGCCAAGCCGCGGCTGCCTCACCAAGCCCGGTGGCGGACGCGGCGGGGAGAGGTGGCAAGCGTCCCGCTCGGCCCATGGAAAGCAGCCCTCCCCTCCTCTCCCGGCCGGAAGAGCCACCCCACGCTCGCCTCTCCAGCCTCCCGCTCCCCCTCCCAGAGCTGGGCGAGCCCCTGCGAGGGGACCTTCTTCAGGCTCGGAAGTGGACCGGCAGCGAGGAGCCGGGAAGGCCTCGACCAAGGAGAGCACGCCCTCATGGCTCCCCCTCGTGGTGGGAGGGGAGAAGGTTATCATTTGGAGTGTCTGTGCAGGGAAGATGGCTGTGATCACGATCGTCAACTGATGTGGAGTTCGCGACCTGAGGCAAACATTTTCTGAAATATCTGTTCGCAACCTGATTTGGTCATGAACTGAGGTGATTGTGAGCCGAGTTACCACTGTATAATCATGTAGCAACAGGACTGTTGTCATCATGTCCATTTTGGACCTCAATGCGTACTGAAAAGAGCTGCTGTTGAGATGATGTGAAGCACTGATCAATGGTACAGCACTGGGAAAGCTCTCACATGTGCAAGTCAACAATATCTGTTGAAATTCTCAAAGTACTGAGCATGCTTGTGCAAGCACCAACCAAAGATGGCTGAACCTCAAACATTTTCAAAGAACAGAATCGTTGGGTTTTTGTCCTACGTTATTTAGGTTAAGTGCCAAAAAACCAGAGTCACACAAAAACATTTTTGTTGTTCTAGAAAAATGTATTCTGCTGTTAGCTGTCTTTCACACAAGTTGAAACACAAACAAAAAACAAACAGCTGACAATTTGTAAGGCCAATGAAGTGAAACATGAATATGTGCCAGACAAGCTTTGCACAAACAAATGCCTCAAAAGCAGTGTGGTGATACAACATCCAGGAATTACAAGCAATTATTAAAACTACAGATGTACTTGCCATGGAAAAAAACAGACAAGAGTTGCTGTGCAGAAATATGCACGGGGCTCTAGTGCTGGAATAGCCACTAGCTAAGTATTGTTGCAATTGAGCCAGGCTTGCAGAGTCAAAGTGCCAGGACCTTTCGATCAGCAGGGGGATGATACCATTGCCTCCTCAACTCAGGATTCCCAGTTCCCTCTAAACTTAGCTGCAGTCTTTAAGTGTGTGTGTGTGGCGGGGGGGGGGGGATTTGGCCCCCAGCAGTGTACAGTTGTGTGTTACCCCTGTGGTAATGCAGAGCATCTGGAGGTGGCTTAGTCCTGTACAGGAAATTAAGATCTATTAGTTTTACAAACTATCTGCTCCTAATGGAGATGATGCTAGAACTGGCTTGCTGACTTTGACATAAACAGTTTCTCCCTGGTGCTAGGAAAAGGAACTTGGAAAATCTTGCACTGATGATCCTATGGGATTTGGGGTCACACAGGCTGGGTTTGCATGGCACATAAAGCCACTGTCTAAAAAGCTGTGGTGGTTCGGCATGTTGTCTGAACCAAACACCCTGGCAAGTCATGGCTTGTTGTAGTATTTGTTTGCCCCTTGATGGGACATGACTCACCAGGAAGCAAGCTCCACAACTAGTGAGCCACTTGGCAAGAGTGGCAAAATAGTCTTGATGCTCTTCCTAAGCAGCTCCAGGCAAGCACCTGTGACAGTTGCCCTCAAAATACCCAAGTGGCACTTAAGGGTGGCTGTCCTTGACTTTCTCTCACTCTCAATCCCAGATGAAGGCTTCAGAAACTGGTGCATGACACGGCTGATGTCTACTGAATTCTGCCCTTCAGGCTCCATATGCGGTTTTGGGAGGCAATACTTAGTGCCATATAAGCCGCACTCTGATTGGCCTTTTCTTCTCAAGAAGCCAATCAGAGCATGGCTCAGATCCTGGCACAGAAAGTGTCTGCTGCACTTTCAAGGCCCCAGGAGGATGATCAGATCATGGTTCAGGTACTGGCAGAGGGTGGTTGGACAACCCCTGACTGCCAGGAGTGGCAGCAGCCAGCCATGGGCCTGCTATCACTACCTGTTATTCCAGGCTGGTGACACCAGCAGGAAACAACATCCCCCTATTCTGCCTTCCCCTGTGCCAAGGCACGGTACGCGTATTGGACAAATTCATGGAAAAGGCCATCTATAGTTACTAGCCTTGATGGCTCTATGCTATGACCAATTTGCCTATGAACACCAGTTGCTGAAAACATGAGGTGCTGTTCCACTTGTGTCCTGCCTGCGAATTCTACATGTGCAGCTGGCTGACCACGGTGTGAACAGAATGCGGGACCCGATGGATCCTTCGCCTGATTTGGCCTGGCTATCTTGGTGTATGCAAGCACTGCCCTGTGAGCAATGAGGCTCTTACATGGAAGGCATTTGTGTGTGTCAACTGTGTGTGTCTGGCAACTGCAGATGTGTCTAGATCTGTGTATAAACATGGGTCTGTGTACCAGTTGCAACCTATGATGCCAGACGTGGAGCATCAGGCCTGCTTGTTGTGAAAAAATAGGTGACTTGTCCATGTCTACTCCCTGAATCCCTGCTCCTGTGAGTGAATACCATTATGTGAGAATTTTAGACAAGGGCACAATCCGATGCACATTTAAACAGAAAAAGTCCTACAGGACTGTGCCTCAAAGTGCATAGGATAGTATCCTTGAAGACGTCTCAGTAGCATACAGGGCCAAACACAGCCACTTCTCACTGCAGCTTGGTGTTCTACTCAGTGCCTATACAGCAGGCAAAAATAGCTCTTTAGAACCATGCTGTAATGCTGTAATTCTAATTCCCTTTCTTGGAAGGAACATCTGTTGGAAACAGTGGGATTTGCCAACAGGTCAAGACCTTGGGGGACAGGATTGTCTTGGCAATGGCTCTCATCTTGTGAAACTCCCTCCCAAAGGACTAGACAGACCCCCCCAAACCTGCAGTATTTGAAATGGCTTTGAAAACCCGCCTGCTTTGAATAGGTTTCAAGAGAGGAGTTATGCTCACACTGCTGATTATTGTCATTTCTTTGCTGTGGCTCTGGAAATACTATTCTTATCCTGACTGAATTCTATATTCCTGTTCTGTTGTATTCAGTATTTTTGAAAATGTACCACTTTATTGCAATGCTACATTTTTGTATTGTTATTTTTCAAACCTATTTAGTTTGCTGCCTTAGGTAACCTCGGTCCAGAAAGGGGCTTATAAATAGTTACATAAAATATATTTAGAGTATATGTAAGCCTAGGCTAACATTTAAAAAGCCTCAATCACAAATCTCTTCAATAACTTGAAATGTTAGGCCATCATCATGAAATAAGAGAGAGAG